CCCCGCCCTGGGCGGCCCGTGAACCTCTTAGTGCTGACCTGTCGTTCATTTCACCGTCCGGGGCCCCTGCCGGCCACCCCGCTCTTACGGGGGCTCGGACAGGGGCGCAGACAGAGCCCCATCAGCAGAATGCCTGTGTCTGAAAGGGGGGTGCGGGGCGGGGGGGCCTCCTGGGGCTGGAGAGGGGTCTGGCGGCAGGAATGGGGGTGTCAGGAGGGGCGGGCATCAGAGGCAGGGGGTGGGGGCGGCCGGCCTGAAGGCGGCCCGACTTGGGGCCGAGGATCCTGGCGGGCTGTGGGCACCAGGGGGCGATCGAGGTTGTGTCCACAGAAGCTGTTCAGACGCAGCTGGAGAGGCTGTGAGGCCGGGGCCACGAGGTGCAGGAGCAGAGGCCCGGGGACGGGTGGGAGCGGCAGCGTGGCCGCACAGCGCTCCGCCCAGGGCTAGCTCTGTGCCCTGCGGGCGCCCCTTCTGTGCCCAGCCAGGCACCAGGCGAGCCTCACCCAGAGGCGGCTCCGGCCTGGGGCGGGCATCTGCTGTGGGTTTTGGAGGGACGAGTCCTAGAATGGCCGAGGAGTCAGGATATGAAGACATAATGAGCGGGGTGCTGCAGCGGCAGCCCTCCGCGAGCTCTCGAGACGGTTGACCCCCAGGAAGGCCGGGCGGCGGCCTGATAACGATCGGGTCTGTCCAGGCCAATTGAGGCTATTTCCCCAGTGATCCCAAGCAGGCCCGGGTGGGGGTGGCTGTGTGGCCTGTCAGGGAGGGGGGAGGGGGAGGGGGAAGGGGGAAGGGGAGGGGCACAGCCCCCGCCTGAGAGTCAGCACCGAGCAAATTCCATCTGTGCAAGCTGACCTAGAGTGAGGACCTGCGGCCTCCCTGCTCAGGGGGGAGGGGGAGGCTCCTGGAGTGGCCTGTCAGTGAGGAAAGAGAGGAGGTTGGGGGAGGGGGAGAGGGGAGGGGGAGGAGGGGGAGGAGGACTCTCATCCAGAAGGGCTGGGGGAGCTGGCTGGGTGTGGCGCTGGCCGGGGCAGTTTGAGCAGGGGTGAGGACAGTGGGTGGGGGCCGGGGACGGCCGGTGTCAGGGTGGACGAGGGCAGTGGCTGAGGCCGGAAGGGCAGGCACAGGCAGGGGAGGCCGAGCCCCCGGTGCCAGGCGGGGGCTCGGGTGCCATCTTGCTCCAGGTGACAAGGAGCCGGGGAGGAAAGCCTGGCCCGCATTTCAGGCTGTTCGAGCTGCTCCACGGAGCAGCAGGTGTGCGCGCGGGGGTCGTGAGGACCGATCACGAGGGCTCTCCTCAGATCTGGTGACTGTTTCCCCAATCTTCTCACCCTGGGGCACGGGGGCGGGGGGGGCTCCCGCCCAGGGGTGGCTGAAGACCCGAGGTCTGGGAGAGAGGGAGGCTGCAGAATAACCCACAGCCAGGCAGAGATGGCGTGAGGTCTGCGGGAGACTCGGGAATCAACCAAGCGCCGCGCGGGACCGCGCCTCGGGCCTGGGGCAGCTTGGAAAGTGACTGCGGAGAAACCGGAAGGTGGGGACATCGGGAGGGACTTCCCGATGGGAGTCCGGTGGCCAGGAAGTCCCAGTGAGAGCCGACAGGGGGCTGGCATCACACCAGAGCTTCCACACAGCAACATGGACAAGGAGTAGCACCAAGAGACCCCACAGGACGGGGGGACCCTGCAGGATGGGGGGACACTGCGGGATGGAGAGACCATGCAGGATGGGGGGGACCCCACAGGACAGAGAGACCCCACAGGACAGAGAGACCCCGCAGGATGGGGGGACCCCGCAGGACGGGGGGACCCCGCAGGATGGAGGGACCTCCTTCAGCTATTCAGTGGAGAATGTGTCCATGTCCAGAACATTGACCTTGAAAAAAACTGAACACCCACGGAGCAAGTCACCCGATTAGCAAATGGACCCACAGAAGAAGACGCGCAAATAAGCATCCCGAGACGGGAAGGAAATACCGGCCCAAACTGTGCTACAAGGTCATCTCACCGCAGTCGGAATGGCCGCCACCAGATAAACCACCAACCACACCGCCGGCGAGGGTCTTGGGGGAGGGGAACCCCTAATGTGCTGCTGGTAGGAATGGAACTAGTGCGGCCACCATGGAGCTCGGAGTGGAGGCTCTTCCGAAAACCAAAAATAGGATGCCACCTGTGCCCTGCCCCCCACCACAGCAGCCCTGGGCGTGTGCTCGTAGGAGGCAAATTAGCTCATAAGAGAACCGTGTGCGCCCCACTCACCGCTCACGACAACCAGGCTGCAATCCACGGGGTGCTCAGCTACAGAGGAGCGGATGAGGAGAAGGTGGGTGCGTGTGCAGTGGAATATTATTCAGCCATAAAGAAGGATGAAGCGAAGTCGACTGCGGGAACACGGCTGGAACTGCGGCCCATCCTATTGGGTGAAACAGTCCAAGAACTCACATACTCGCTGTACGCGCTCACTCCCTCCCAGGCAGAATCCAGACTCAGGACAGTACTGACGATGAACGTGGGAAATGGGTGTGAACGGGGCCACCGGGCCGCTGTCCTTGGGCTTTTGTGCCCAAGGCTCAGGCCTCAGCCTCCCGAGCAGCTAGGGTGGCGGGCGTGAGCCATGGCTCCGGGCCGTGTGTGGCTGAGGCGCTGCCCGTTTGCCGGCCAGCGGCTCCCCGGCAGCTCCGGCCGAGGGAGCGCGTGCGTTTGCTACGGCTTCATCTGTGTGCGGTGCTCAGCGAGTCTGCGAGTCTGCTCCATGCAGACCCATAGTACAGTCAAGGAAACTGAGGCACAGAGAGGCAGAGGGCTGGCCTCCTCGGACCGGCTCTTAGACTCCAGCGGTGCCCACCGGGCTGGCGCCTGTGCTGAGCTGTGAGGCGGCGCCTGTGGCCATCGGCTGTGCCCAGTGTCCCGGGCAGGGAGAGGCGTGTCCATCACCACCACCACACACAGGAGTGGACTCGGCGGGAGGGCATCCATCCCGGGGCCTGCCCCCACCCTGCGCCCCCTCTCGTCCCCAGGTGCACCGGGGCATCAAGGGTGTGGTGATGGACAAATTTGGCAAGCCGGTCAAAAATGCCCGGGTTCTCGTCAAAGGTATCCGCCATGACATTACCACGGGTGAGTGCCTACCCCACAGGGGCCGCCGCCCCGGGCCCTGGCCCCACCCCACCCCCCACTGCCCCAGCCTGAGCCACTGCCCCCTCCCGCTTGCACCCTTGGACCTACAGCCATGGCCCGCAGGGTCATCACACAGAGGCCTCCAGCTCCCAGCATGCCTTGCACTCTGTCCAGTACCAGGCCAGCATGGCTGGACAGGGCGTGGTGGGGGGCACTGTGGTCCCCGTCTGCCCCAGGCAGTGTCTCCCCATGTCTGTGGCCCGCTCAGCCGTGGCTGCTGAACGAGCACGGATGACTGTCCCGTGTTCCCGGGCACACGCGCCTCCCTCCACAGCCCGTACCTGAGGCACACGCCCCGCCCTCCTAGTTCAGGTCAGGGGCCCCCGGCTGGCCTCACACGCGCACCAGCTGTCCCTGCTAACTATGTGGGATGGCGTGTAGGTACAGATGGTTAAGATACCTAAGCAGGGCTTTGAGGGATGAATAGGAGTTTGTCAGATGTGTTGGGAGGGACATTCCAGGTGGATGCAGGGTAAGTACAAATCTGGGGTCCATTGGCCCTCTGTGCCAGCCTCCCCCACCCCCTCTGCACCCCTCCCAAGGCGGTCTGCGCCCTCGTTTGACTCGGTTTTTGTTCTCTGAAGCCCCAGATGGTGACTACTGGAGACTGCTGCCTCCCGGGTCCCACGTGGTCATCGCCCAGGCCCCTGGCTATGCCAAGGTCATGAAGAGGGTCACCATCCCCCTGCGCATGAAGCGGGCTGGCCGCGTGGACTTCATCCTCCAGCCTCTGGGGACAGGACCCAAGAAATTTCTGCCTGCCCTTCGGAGAACTGCGTTCCCCAGGTCCCGGGCTATGCTGCTGGGCCCTGGGCCGCAAGGGGCACCCCCAGAGCCGGACCCGGAGCCCCCTGCGGTGCGCAGGCTGCCCTCGGCCGGCGGGAGCAAGCCCTGGTGGTGGTCGTATTTCACCTCCCTGGGCCCCCACCGGCCACGCTGGCTGCTCAAGTACTAGAGCCCCCCACCCAGCCCCCACCCAGCCCCCCACGGCCTGGCGCCCGGCTCTGGACCGTGTCTGCCGCAGACATTGCACAAGGCTGTTGTCGAGTATTAAAGCGATTTTGTTCACCTGTCGCCATGGCACGGGCTCTGCAGGGCCCCTCTGGAGGAAGGAACTGAGCCCCCGGACCTGGGCTGGGCTCCCTCCCGTGGATGAGTGGACAACAGGAAGGGCACACCGGGCTGGGCCCCCAGGACTGCCAGCCTGGACCACGTCTCCGATAGGAGAGCCGAGGCCAGGGTGGGCTGCGGGGAGGGGCCTTCCCCGTTCGTGGCGGGAGCTGAGCTCAGGTCCAGGAGTTCAAAGGAGAGCCAAACCTTGAGGGCAAGAGGGCCGGACAGCCCCTGGCCCTGCACCCTGGCTGGTATCACACGGAGCCTGCTGGCCTGCGTGGGCCCTGTGTCCTCCCGGCCCCTCCTCTACCTGTGCTGTGAGGTCACTAGCTGCGCCCATGCTTCCCACCCCGGTCCCCTCGGTCCACTGCCTCACCGTCAGGGGAGGTCGGTCCTGGGTCTGTCAGGCAGGGAGTTGGGTAGCCTCCTCGGGAAATCGAGCTGTGTCAGTCAGCTAAGGCTGCGTAACGAGCCATGACGGGGTGTTCAGCAACAGATTTATGATCACAGTTCTAGAGGCTACAAGTCCAAGATCCAGGTACAGCAGGGCTGGGACGTCTTCTCCCTGGGCTGTCCCCGCATGGCCCTGAGCCAATCTGACTGGAGACCCCATGGGAACAGACACACACAGAGGACACGGGCTTTGAGCCAATGGAAGAAGAGGAGATGGAGATGCCGATGACTTCATTTTAATTTGATCACCTTTATAAAGACCCCGTGTCCAAACCACACCTCACTGGGAGGTGCCCGGGGCTCAGCTTGTCACGAGGCTCACGGGGGGGGGGGTCTAGCCTGGGCTCCGAGGGCTCCCCTCTGTGCTGGCCTGGGAGCAAAGGGTGCGTTCTAGCCTGGGAACCGGAAGGGGTCAGCGTTCCCAAGGGGACCCGTGGAGATCAGATCCCCAGATCCAACTCGAAGGACAAAGCAGGAGTTTCTGCGCAGGTTTCTGCGTAAGCCGAGGCAGAACACGGGCGGCGTCTCACCTTGCAGGAGTCACTGGTGATGTTGGAGTGCAGCATCCACCGTGGGCAGAAGCACTGGCTTTGGCCTCTGGGGAGGGCAGATGGCCGTGGCGGCATGCGGGTGACCGCACTGGCGTATCTTATGCGAGGAGGCGGGGGAGGGGGAAGTAGCCTAAAGCCCTCCCGCAGGCGCCCCCTCCCCCAAGTCCCCGCGGGTGGCGTCTCCCTGGGGCTGCACCTTCACATGCGGGTTTGCAGGACACATCCAGACCACAGAACTTTCCACAAAGCAATGGGCTGACAAGGTGTGGGCCATTTGTCAGCAAGAGGCAGAGACAAGGCGCCGACGTGTGTGAACAAAGTACCCGGAACGGCGCCTGTCTGGTGCGGCCACACCGGGGATTAGCGACAGTGACGGTAACAATTACCATCATGAATGACACTGGCTAAGGCCCCAACAGTCTGTCCCAACAAAAGGGAAGGTGCATCACGCCCATTGGCCAGGACACAATCGCGCGGCCATGCCTAGTCCAAGGACTGCTGGGAAATGTAGTTTTGTCCTGGTTGGAAATGTGTCCAACAAGATCTAAGTGCTCTGTTCATGTAAACAGGGCAATGGATTGAGCGAGATGTTAGACTGCTCCATTCTTGGAGGCTAAAGGAAGAAACCCTGAGCCCCAGGACCAGTTTAAGGGCAGTGTGGAGGAAAGGCCCTGGTGAGACTACACAGAAAGCCTACACACACCCCTGCTGGGCAGGAGGCAAGGGTGGATGATCACCCTAGGAAATAGGGAGGGAAAACATCCTTAAACCCAGAGCAAAGCCACCCAGAGAAAAGACACAAGAAACAGGAAACAAATGGAAACAGTAGCAAGCATTAATCAGCTCTAGTCCTGGCTCTTTCAAAACGACCACCAAGCAGATATACCTCTTTTTTGTTTGTTTGTTTAGTTTTTTGGTTGTGGGGCTTGAACTCTGGGCTTGGGTGCTGCCCCTCAGCTCTTCAGCTCAAGGCTGGTGCTCTACCACTTGAGCCACAGTGCCACTTCCGGTCTTCTGGTGGTTTATTGGAGATAAGAGTCACACAGTCGTTTCCTCCCCGGGCTGGCTTTGAACCTCGATCCTCAGAGCTCAGCCTTCTGAGTCTCTAGGATTCCAGGTGTGAGCCACCATGCCTGGCCCAGATCGAACTCTTAAGCAATGAAGATGAAAGAAATAAAGAACAAAGGAGACAATGAAGAAAAGAGACGTCACTGAAACGTCACAAGGAATTGAAAGGTTGTTTTATTTCTTTTTGGCAGGAAAAGCTCATATAACTATGTCACTTGATAAACCTCTTAAAATACAGAAATAGAAATGGGCAGACTGGACCCTAGAAGACATAGATAACAAGGACAAAAGGTGAGTTTCATGTTCTGTGGCTGTTACCTCAATGAAGGACAAAGATTCAGAAAGTCTCCTCCAAAGAGGCCGGGCAGAGCCCCTGGGCTGTGGAGGTAGAGCCAGGCGGTCTATGATGGCTGTCAAGGAGGACTTGATGGGGTCATGGGGGAGGGTCTGGTGGGCATTGAGGGGAAGCGAAGGTTTCCCTTAGTTCTTGCTTACCACGTGGTGGTCTCTGTGTGGTCTCGGGCTTGCTGGGGGCAGTGGCAGCGTACGGGCGGCTCACTCTGCATCCAGGGTCCTCACGGGAGCCAGGCCAGCTGCCGGTGTTCACCGGACGATGAGTAAATGACTGGATGGACGGACGGATGGATGAGGACATGAGGAGAGCTGGAATGGGGCCCTGACTTGGGTGGAGTGGGCGTCTCACTGCTGGGTGGCTGAGGTGGGCAGGGACAACGTGAGGTGATTGTGCGGGTCAGAGAGGCTGGCACGGTTCAAAGCCCAGCACACAGCGCACAGGGAAGGGGGTGAGGGGCCCTCCGTGCTGGCTGCGCGGGGGCCGGGGGCGCGAAGGTGCCTGGGAATGGGGTGCTGCAGCCCCAGGAACTGGCAGGTGGGAAGTGGAGACTCTGGTTGTGCACGCTCTCTCTCCTCTCCCCCTCTCTCTGCTTGTGAAGTTGGGGGTCATTTGCTGAGAGGGAAGACCAGCAGTGGACCCAGAATGAGCAACACCCAAAGCGAGGGATCTTGGTGGGGGACTGGTGACGGTCACCCCTCGTCTCTCCCTGACGTCCTGTGCTGGCTGGGGGGCTCTGGAGGGGTCTGGACTCTAGATTCTGGAAGAACCTCGAATGTCATCTAGGGACCTGTCTTCCCTGAGCCCGTGTTTGATTGCAGCCCCAGGAAGGGGGCTCACACCCCCTCGCCAGCCTGCTGCCACGGTGGGCATTTCTCAGCGTGAGGAATACCGCCACTGCCTCCTCTTCCTCCTCCTCCTCTCCTCCTCCTCCTCCTCTTCTTCTCCCCCTCCTCCTCTTCTTCTCCTCCTCTTCCTCCTCCTCCATCTTCTCCCCTCCTCCTTCATCTTCTCCCCCTCCTCCTCTTCTCCTCCTCTTCTTCCTCCTCCTTCTCCTTCCCCTTCCTTCTCCTCCTCTTCTTCCCTTCCTCCTCCGCCTCCTCCTCCTCCTCCTCCTCTTCTTCTTCTTCTTCTTCTTCTTCTTCTTCCTCTTCCTCTTCTTCTCTGCCCGCCAAGTGCTCCCTCTGAGGTGGCCCAGCCAGGCCTCTCTCTTTTCTCTGTGACAATTCCTCCAGCATCAGGGGCAGAGCCAGTACCCCTCCTCCGCCCCCCCTTCTCCTCTCGGTGTCCGTCCACGTCTCCTCTTCTCGATGGACGATGGGGTGGGGAGGGAGCCTGCCACCGGGGCCGGCCTCACGTCACACCAGCCACAAACCGCAAAGCACTCTCCCAAGACTTTATGAGAGTCATTTTTCTCCTTCCATTTTCATATACAAATCTAATCTTTGGAGAACCTGCTCCCTTCTAACTCACATATTATGGGCTTTCATCAATAATAATATACGATCAATTACTCAAATGGAATTGATTAGTGGAGAGAGCCACATCTCCCCTGGTCAGTCTGTGTCTGATTGGACGGAAGCCTGGCGATGGCGGTGACACTGGGCCTTGCCCGTGGCTCTGTGCTATCTACCTTTTAGCTGAGATTAAATTTAGGTACAATTTACTAATGTGAGCTTAAGAAAAACCCAAAAGGGCGCTTTATATCCCAGCCCCACGATGACACCACCCTGGGATGCGATAAGCCACCGTGGGGAGGAGGGACCGGCCCGGCCTCTTGAGTTCATCTGAGCGTTCTTCTTCATTTGACCACACAGATCATTTTTTTTTTTTTGGTCACCAGAAAGCTGAGTTCCATAAATCCAATATCACCCAATTCAATAAAGACAATCTGAGCCTGTTTTGACCAGTCTGCCTCCCTTTCTCTCTCTCTCTCTCTGCTCAAACAAAACAACCATGAGGCATTACAAAGATGGTGGTGACACCATTTCTGGCAAAGCAGGGCTGGAAACTGTAGGCCGGGCCTACGGGGGTCATGGTTCCCCGCCCTGGGCTTGGTGTCTACCACTGAGCAGCTTCTTCATCTCCACAACAGGTCTCCAAGTGCCTGAAGTGCAGCTCACCACCGACGGGAGGAGGAGGGGCCCTGGGCTGGAGCCCGGACAGCTCTGCTTGCTTCCTGGAGGAGTTCTGGGAGAGCGGTGTTGGGGAGAGGGTGGAGGAGGCAGGGATGGGGGTCTCAGGCATGAAGGAGGTGAGCGAGGAAGTATGGGGCTGGCTAGCCATCAGGTCAGGACTTCTGGAGAAAGCAGGATTGAACTAAGGACTCTTTGCTGGGCACTGAATGTTCAAGTGGTAAAGCTCCAGCCTTGCACATAAAAAGCTAAGCATGCTAGGTGCCGGTGGCTCACGCCTGTC